GGAGTATTGTTTTCCATCCTTTGACTTTCGATCCATGAATTTCATTTTCAATTAAATATGTTACATGTATGCAGCATATTGTTAGATCTTGCTTCTTGATCCATTCTAAGTCTGTTTCTTTTGATTGATAAATTGAGACTATTAATATTAATGATTATAAGTGACATGTATTGGCAACTTTGTCATGGCATTTTCCTGTTGTGATTCTCTTTTTATTCTCTCTTTTATAATTTGCTTTGCCTTGTGGATTTTTTCTGTTATGATTCATGGAGATACATTCCTTATTAACTCTTTCTCGAATGTGTTACAGAATATTTTGGATTACTGTTTGGTGACTCACAATTTCTTCAAGTGTTGTTTGCTCCATTGATTTTGAAAGATAGTTTTCTAGGTTACCTCGATCTGGATTGCTGGTTGTTTTCTTTTAAGGACTGAAATATTTTCTTCCAAGCTCTCCTTACTTTGAGGGTTTCTATTGAGAAACCTGGGAGAAGTTTGCCCCGTTTCATAAGAGCCTTTCTTTATAGGTGATTTGTTTCTTTTCTCTAACAGCTTTTAACATTCCATTCTTGTGCTCAGCTTCTGGAATCTTGACAGTTGTCTGTCTTCTCATAGGTTTTAATCATGGCTAATAGGGTTCCATATGCCTTAGGAGAAGAGATTCCTGTGTCATTTGCGCTGTCTCCTGTTTTATTGACCCTGATCAAGTGTGCGTTATTCTCCTCTGCATCATCCAGCAGCTGCTAGATTAATTTTTCTCATAGTCTCTTTCTATTTTAAGAAATTTTGCCTTTCAGTGATTTCTAATTGTAATCCTGCTTTTTTTTGGAGACAGGGTCTTGCTGTGTAGTTCTGTGTGGCTTAGATTCATGATATGGCCCAGACTGGAGCCACAGCAATCCTCCTGCCTCAGCTTCCTAAGTGATGGGATTTCCATGCATATGCCAACATTGCTGGGCTCATCCTGTGTTGAATATATGATCTTCTGCCCTTTCTTTGACTCATTCTGATGTGTATACTTTTTATTTGTTTTGTTTTGTTTTAGAAAAAAAGAGAAACAGAAAATAAGTGTAGAAATAATACAGAATTTGAAAAAATTAGCAGAAAGAAATGATTAGTGAAAAACATTAACAGTAAGAAATCACTGGTTGATTATATATTGTTATATTAGAAGTAGTTATTCAAGTTCCAAAATCAAAGCATAACAAATGGACAATCAAACAATGACAGGACTAACTATTCTGCTAATGAACTAACAAAAGCTTAGTAGTATGGTTATCTATGTTGTTCATACAGTTACATCATTTAGAGAAAAATTGGCCTTCCACATGCCCAAGACCGAAACTAGACTCATGTCTATCACCATGCACTAAAATAAAGTCAAAATGAATGAAATATCTAAATATTAGAACAGAAACATTAAATCTACTGGAAGACAAGGCAGATAGAAATCACCAATGCGTAGGAGCAGGCAAAGAGTTCGTGAACCAAATGCAAGCCGCACAGGAAGTACATTAGAGAATCACCAACTGGAATCTCACCTTGCTGTGTATACTTTTAAGATAATTTTTAATCTCTGGGATATCTTTTTGAATCTGTTTCATTATTACATTTCTCTCCTTTGTGAGGTGCTCATGATTTCCATAATTTTCCTCAATGTCTGAGTATTTTTATCTGTGCTTTAGATTTACTAAGCATTTCTATCATTATCTAAGAAGTTATTTCTGATTTGAGGTTTTTCTAGTGTCTCCTTCACCTGCCCTGGTGCTACTAGCACTGCTACCTCGGAAGGCCCCGGTAGGTAGCATCTGAATCGCTCCACTTCATCGCTCTCTGGGTTTGCCTCTGCTGAGCTGCAAGTCTGGGGCTGCGCCTTGCTGAAGTGTCTGCTCATTTGCTTACTTTTTTCAGTTTAATGCCTGGGTGGATGCTTGTAAATTGCTTATGTGAAGTGGCTTTATTGCTAGTATATAGAACACTAAGAAAATTGTAACGTCTCACAGATATCTTCCTAATGTACCTGGCTTTTGGGTTTTGAGTCTGTTGAAAAATCCCACTTCTTGAATTCATTTGGGATGACAACTGCTGCCTGCTTGGCCCAGCCCATGGATTTTGGTGCTGGCCCACAGTACTCTCTATGTACTTTAGTCAATCTCATTCTTAGCATAGCAGGAAGAGTAACTGGATGGAGCCATTTTGTCACTTTGGCTAAGATGGCACAGTCAGCAATAACAATAGCATCACACAGCTTAGAAAATGCCAAACTGTGATGGCCATTAATTTGTCACCTTGAACTGTGAACTAGATTTGCAATTATACAACAAAATACTAAATGTAACCAGAAAATTGTATGCAGTCAGCCCCCAATATGCCAATTTATCCCTTGGGAGAACATTGAAAAGGGGCTAGGAAAAAATAGAGAAATAGAAGAAGAGGAAGAGTTTAGAGTCAAGGTTGGAGGACAGATAAACATCATGCAACCTTTTGGAAACTGGTGCAGAAGACAGTAGGGAAAGAGAGAAGGAAGAAGCAAAAAGAAAAACAACACTAGAAAGAGCACAGGAAACTGGAAATCATGTTCACACTCACATAAACACAATATCAGGCAATGAAGTGGAAAAAAAAAACCAAGAAAAGAAAGAAAAAACAAAAACACCCACTTTCAGATTTGTCTCTCTGTCACTGATGGACTATGTGTGGATACGGTGTCCAGAGGCAGCAAGTCGGGGTACCTTTATGGTGGGGATAATCTCAGTGAACCTGCACCTTTATTTCCCCTGAAGTCCGCGGTGTTTTCTGGCCATGAGGTGGAAGCCTCACTCCCCCTATAGCCGTCATCCTGTGGGCTTGAACTCAGCTGGGAACCACTATATGGGGCCAAATGATGTTCTGAGTTCTGAGTTCAGTTGTCTGCATGGGAGCCAATCACTCTCTGCTGTGTGAGGTCTTGTCCTGCAGACTCACCCCCAGCTAGTGCAGTCCTCCACACCCACTGTTCCCTTCCAGTGCTGTGTCTCTCCGTGGAGGACTCCAGTGTTGCCAGCAGACAGTGTGGTCTGCAGGGCTGAACCGCTCCCCACATGTGACTGCCAACTCAGGGAGAAGGCTCAGCCAGCTCTCTCCTTGTTCACTGAAGTTTCTCTCTTCACATCCCCATGGGACATGAATTCTTGCTTCAGATCCTCCTGGGTCCAGGGGACCCACTTCCCTCCTTCTCTTCCTCACACTGCTATATTCTAGCATCCGGATGGCAGCTCTCAGAGAGGCTCTGTATCTGCCGCTTACCACCCCATCATCTTCCTGGAACTCTTCTGGATCACACTTAACTAACCAACTGTACATGTAAACTTACTGGTTCTTCATAGATTCAACCCACATTGTACCAATGTGGTTTTACTCTGTAAAAGTTCCTCTGAAAAATTTGATGTTTGCCAGCCATTTGAGCCCCTTCCTGACTCTCAGGAGCTGTCACACTCCCTCAATAAGTGTTTCTGATTCTTTTTTTTCTTTTTTTGTATTGGGAATTGAACTCAGTACCTCACACTTGCCAGGCAGGTACTGTGCTGTTGAACTATAATCTGGCCCAATATTTCTTATTCTTAACCTTCATTATTCCTAAAATTTATTCTTCAATTATATAGAGCATGAACTTGGTGTATGAGTCATCTTAACAGGTTGTAAAATGATATTTTCTTATTTCATCTTCCGCATCACATCCTGTATACACTACTTCAGTGAGAACAAGAACTTCCTGATTCTCATCCTGCAGGGCCCGACAGGCATTGTTGGAAGCCCCCCAAGCCACATCATGTCCACAATGATGATGCTGGTCTCCTTGTGGTCACCAGATTCTGGGGTCACCTGAGGAGAGGCCTGAGTCTAGGCTGTAACTCTCTAGATTTGTTTACATACCTGATATCACAGATATGAGAAAAATCTCATAAATATGTGAAAGTGTCATAAATAAGAGATAGTGTCATAAAAATGCAAATGTGAGTTTATTCACATCTCAGTCCAGTTGTGAAGAAACTAGCCCATGATCTTCAAATGCATAAAAGCACTCTTAGAAATAGAAGAAAAGGCCACAAACCACACAAGTACCAGTTCAACTAGGCTTTATTCCACCGAAAAAGTCCAGAAAACAATTGACAGTTTGATCTACTGAAACACCTTGGGCCAGAGCCAGGAGTGGTCGCTGTCCCTCTCTGCATGAAGAAGGTAGACACAACATTTAGCTTTAAAAACTCCAATTTTCAAATCACTAATTTGGCTCCATGATTTTGGCATACAACAGTGAAACCCATGAATTTGTATATGTTTGGAAATTGCCCACCAGTCCACAGTTTGGGCAACTCCTCTGGTCAGGCTACTATCTGCACTGAAGATCCTTAACGTCCAGTGAAACAGAGAGTGAGTGACACTCATGACCACACCAGGCCTTTTCTCTCATCCTGGCCTCCCTTCCTTCAGAGACTCTGTGTCTGTCCTACAACTCAAGTTTCAGAATTGGGTGACAAGCAGAGACAATATGGCATGATGACCTTTATCTGGCCTTTGCTCACTACACTTGGGGTTTGACAAAGCAGTCAACTGCCCCTGATTTTCCTTCTGGGAATCTCTACATGTGAAGCTTCCCTGAACCCTGATCCTGTGTCTCTCATGCAGAAAGACACCAGACCCGTGCCTGACACAAGGACCATAGTTTCTTGACAGAACAGAAGAAACTAGATACAGTACAAATGGACCAGTGAGTGCATGAGAAGAGCATTCATCAGTGGGGCGAAAGGAAAAAGAGATCAAGTCACTATAAATAGCGGAGGAACAGAACTGTGACTTCCTCTAGTGGACAACCAACTTCAAAACCCAACAAAGACACTTAGTTTCACAATGGGTTGAATGAAAACCAGATATAATGTTTTCTGGTGAATCAGTGAGTAAGAAGGAATTTGAGGTGACTGGGGAGACTGAACACTTCATCACCAGGATGACAGGAAGGATAGGTGTAATTCCAGTGTAGCAACTTGGCAGCACAAACCTGAGTTGTCATTCAGGGGAAACTGAAAGCTACAGAGCGGCAGGTGACTCATGCCATCATCACGGCCTGAACCAAGAGCGGAGATGGTATAAAAGGGCTGGGAGAGCGAGGATCAGTCTCTTCATGCAGAGAGACATCAACATGGTGGAATTTTATGAGCTGATTGTTCACATTCCCAGTGATGTGGAGCAACACCTTCCAGCAACTGACTCAGATCCCATCAGCGAATGGAGCCTACCAGAGGACAGCGACTTGGTTTTGAGTGAATTTGAGAAATCTCAACTGACCATCGCCAATAAAATTCATAAGGAAATTCTAGGGAAATGGGAAAAAAATAACCCAAAAGTCTTTAGGCAGTTTAAAAAAGGAACAAAATCTTTTGAGCTTCGCATTTTGATTGAAACTTCTATAATGATCCCCACCTCTCTGGGTCAGAGTTTGAGGCAATTTAAATTTACATGCCTAAATCATGTGTATCCCGGCATTCTACAGTGGATGTATGCCTCCAAAAAACCTGATGGATCCTATGAGACTCCTGGTGAGGATTACATCAACAAATCCCTTCTGACAGAGAGCCAAGCAGAGTTGCAGTTGTTGTGGACCAACATGGATGAGTACAAAGAGCCAGCTCAAAATTTCTCAGGACGCAAGAGGCTGGTAGAGGAGCATCAGAACCAAAGTCTGTCAGATCTGTCCCAAGCAAGCGCTTCTGGCAGTTGTGGTGCAGGGCTTATGGTAAGTGAAAGCAGAGACATATGGGTCGTGCCAAGTGCCTCATACAGAAGGGCATCACATCAGAAAAACAATGGCCTGAGGAAGACCAGGAATCTGTCCTGAGCTTCAACAGGACAGGCAACACCAGGAATCAAATCACAGCTGCCCTGGACAATGCTAGGCAGGTCATGAGTCTGAGTAAGAAGGATCAAGATGACCTGGTGGGGTGACCTCTGGAAGACATGACCCAAAATTAATAGTCCCCTGTGGGGTGGTGTTGGGGTGGAAACCATGGACCAGGTGGGACACCAGTGGGTGTGCTAACCTCTCCTCCTCACCCAGGCCCAGATAAAGGACGGCCTCCATAAGCTGGAAGACATACAAGCTTTCGGGGAGGAAATCCTGACACAGGCCAATAAGAATGAAAAGAAGCTGAAGAACACGGAGGCTGAGATGATTCAGCTGCAGGTGAGCCTGGCCCACAGGTACATGCAGCAGGTGGCAGCTCACAGCCTACATGCATCTGCCTTTGTCCCTCGGTAGGAGGCTGGAGGCATGCAGCGCACTCCAGCAAGACTGAGGTGCCCCGTGTTTTACAGAAGGGCCCTGTTATGCAGCCGGGACCCTGGTGTGCTCACTGTGTGTGGAGGTGAAATTGTGACAGTTCAGGCCATGTGCTAAGGCCTTGTGGCAATCACTCCTCCTGATGTGGTTGTTCCTTGAAGGGGTCTGAGTGTCCCCTTGGTTGCCTTGTAGCTCATATGGTGAAAGCTGCTGGACTAGAGGGTCTCCTATTGCGTGATGGTCCTGCTCCTGGCATGCACAGAATAACCCACCTGTGCTCTCTTGCCTGGACCCGGGGAGATCTTTCCCTCCACTGTCACATGTGGTCCCTGTGGAGGCAGGCTCCCCCTCAGAGAGAAACTTTCCCCTGAGCCTGGTGTGCAGCATCCCCAGGTTCCATCCTGAGCTTCCATCCCTGTCTCCTGAGCCCTGGCCCACTGGGAACACAGTGATCTGCACGGAGGATCTGTCCTCCTGTCACCTTCATTAGGCTTGGATGTTTTTTGCTCACATCCCTGACACCTGGCTTGATTCCTTGTATGTGAAGTGGTTTTGTGAGCATGTGGTACTAAAGCTGTGATCTCAGAAGGGGACTCACTCTGTGAGCACAGCGACTCATGAGGGAGGGCTTCGTGGAAGGGGGAAAGTCTGGCTTGGGGAGGGTAGGAGCGCAAGGTGTCTGTGGAGTGCTGGGCACGGAGGCCCCAGCAGCCCCAGTGGGTTACATTCTGGGTCCTTGTGGCAGGAACTGGAAGCAGCTGAGCGTGCCAAGTGCCAGGCCCAGCAGGAGCGGGACGAGCTGACTGAGGAGCCTGCCAACAGCAGCGGCAAAAGGTGAGCAGATGAGGAGTCAGATGCAGGGCTGGGGTGGGTCCCCCACTGACAGACCCTTCATTTCTCCCCAACTTTCGCAGAGCCCTAGAGGGGAAACCTCAGCTGGAGACCCGCACTTCCCAGCTGGACCTGATCAATGACCGGCTGAAGAGGGTCAGCCTGCAGGTGGGCATCAATGTGGCCAAGCCACCTTCCACACTGGGATTCCCAGCCCATGGCCTCAACTCCTTCCTACAGCAAGGCGGCAGCAGCTGGCAGAGGCTGAGGAATGCTTCCTGGTTGCTTCTGGGAACAGTGCTGGCACCCGTGGAGCTCCCTGGGTCCCTATTCATGGGCTGCTTCCTGTCTGAGAGAGCTGAGGTCTTGGGTACCAGGACTCTATGGGATCTTACTGTTCCCTTCCACTGGTCCCAGTGGTGCCAACTAGTAGACAGCCTAGCCCACCTCAAGGCCATTGCTTTTCGTTCTGCAGATTGATGAGATCACCACTATGATCTCCACATGGAAGGCCTCCATCACTGACTCTGAGACCAAGGGAACAAAGAGGGAGGAGCAGCTGGATATCGAGACCAAGTACGTGCCCCATGGTTTCCCACTTCACAGGTACATGATGCCAGTCTGACTGCTCCCTGGAACAGCTGTCAACCTGGGGTGGTCCTTTCCTTAGCCTTCCAAGTCCAGAGGCTGCTGTCCCATGCAGGGAAATCCATGTTCTTCTTGCTGGAGTGGATTTGGGTTTTGAATAGGAGCCCATGGTTGACCTGGGGGTCTGAAGTAGAGAGGTGCAAGGTCATGTCTACCTGGACAGCTGCCATTGGACTCAGTAATACTGGGACTTCATGGGTGGAATGGTGATCTTACTGAGTCCCAGACCTGTATTTTTAAGTGGCCAAGGCTGCCCTCACACTCGATCTTCTGGCCTCAGCCTCTCAAAAGTTTGGGATTGCAGATATGTAACACATGCTAAAATTTTTATTTCTTTCTTTCTTTCTTTCTATTTTTTTTTTTTTTTTTTGAGAGAGAGTCTTGCTATGTAGTCCAGGCTGTCTCAAAGTAATGATCTTCCTGCCCCAGCCTCCTTAGTGGGCTGGAGCCTATATTTTTGAAGGCAAAAGAGCAAAATGTTCAGACTTGCTCTTCAGTGTTTTAAGATGCGTTTTCTGTCCTATGATCTGGAGAAGATGTCTGTCCTGTACCCTGTGTAGGCACTCATTCCTGTCTCATGGTTCCACTTGTTTTGCTTGCCTTGGAGAAGGGATGGAGCCCAGGGTTCTGTACTGCGGGACAAACACTGTGCCAGGGTTTCTCAATAAAATCCATTTGAACATGTTGTGCTGTGCAGCTGCCCTCCAGCTGGGCTCTGCTGACCCTCTGCATTTGCCCGCAGGCACGAGGACATGAAGCTTGTCTTGGTACAAGAAGTGTCACAGATGGGCACTGGTGACTGCTCAGATGAGGAGGAAGATGGCAAAGATGATGGGGCCGAGGCCAAGCCTGCTGAATAGGCTGCTTCTCCTGTTCTCAGGAAGGACAGATGGATGACTGCCCACCTCTCCCTGCCCCTGCAGCACCCTGCCTTGGGACAACTGTGACCTGATCCTTACCCTAGTCCTGCTGCCCTGCTGAGGGCATTGGCTTCCTCTGGTGCAGCCCTCCAGCCCTTCCCCCTCCCAGAATCTGACACCAAAGAGTCAGGGCTGGGCCCAGGCCTGCACAGTGTGACCAGCAGGCCTGCACCCTCTGCTGTCTGAAACCGTGGTGAGGCAAGGAGGGCAGGCTGCTGGGGCGGGCTCCAGGGTTTTCTACAAATCTATTTTTATTCAGACTAAAAGAGTTTTGATAGCCTCACACCCAGAAGTGTTGTCAGCCCGCACAGCTCCAGCCCCCACCTGGCCACCAGCTCCTCCTTCCTGCTGCCTTGTCTGCTGTTGGCAATCACACATGGTGACCTCACACCTCTGTCCTGTGGGCCCCCACTCCCCTGGGCCCTGAGTGGTCTGAAAGGAGCAGGCCCAGCTCCACCTCTGTGCAGGACACAGAATGCAAGGGAGGGGGGACTTCTTATCCCCTCTGGGCAGCCCTCTGTCACTGCCCCTCCTGATTCCAAGATGTCACAAATGTAGTACCACTGCCCCTCCTGCACTGGTCTATACTGGTTGGTGAATTTATTTGTATTCGTAATTGACTTGTATATGCTTCATTAGACTCACTTCTGGCAAGAAGACTTTTTTTATAAAGGAAACAAACTTGCATCAAATTATGAAGCTACATATAATACAAAGCTCTGAGTTCAGGTCCCAGTTGCTGTCACAAAGGAGTGAGTGGAACTCCGACCCACCCCTTTTTCTATAATGAAATTGCCTTAGCATGAGTTGCAGCTGTCACCACCTCAGTAAGCTGGTTTACAGATGTTTTCACTGAGTCACAATAAAGAGCACCATTTGCTGAGAACCAACTCTGAGGAGTCCTTCTGGGGAGAGGGTGGTGGAAGGAGCTGTGCGTCATGTCCAGGAAAACCTCAGAGCCACTCTATCCAGAACTTAGAATTGGCAGAGCTTTGAGCAGTCACATCCAAGTCCTCAGCGCGAGTCCCCCTCAGTGTTGGTCAGGGTCAGGGTAACAACGTGCCCAGAGGTCCATTTGGATGCAGTGTCTCTTTCCATGGTCACAAGAATCACGTTTCTCTAACCTAGGAGGAGGATGGGGTGACTGAGATGTGGAGGTTGGGGTAAGGAAGGCTATGCCTGTACAGAGGTAGAAGGAGGGGAAGGCGGGAAGCAGGACTCCCGGGAGGCCTGCACACAGCCATTAGCCCAGGGGTGGGTGAAGCCCAGTGCTTACAAGTAGGGGAGGAGAGAGGGTCAGTGAGTCAGAAAATAGATGATAGAAAAGACCCACCATATGAAAGAAGTCTCTAGAAGCAGCAGACAGAACAGAACCAATCACATGCGCATCTATTCTGAGTTCCCAGTGGAGAGAATGCATCTGTGCTGGGAGCTCCCTTTATCACAGGTGAGTCATACACACTCACCACCAGTGTTTTCACGGTCATCTTGTTCCATCAATTAGCTGCTCATTCTTTAGCTGATACTATATGACTTTCTTTATTTTAGTTCTCCGCTGCATTCTGATTCTTAGTGGGGTGACCAGGCATTCATTGCTCTCCTCTTAAATTTCATCTTCTTATCCTTAGCTATTTATTCTTTAACGATGGAGATGCTTTTTGGATGAGAGTTGCTGTGAGGTAGCCAGGGCTTCCCAGAGTGGAGACCCCAGCCCAGCAGCAGCTGCAGCAGCAGCGCCTGAAAAGGTTTTAGAAATGTACTTCTTGTGCCCTCTAAAGCCCTGAATTAAAGGCTTTGCAAGGAGGGTATTCAAATATGGACACTCAGGTACTCACAGTGTGTGTCTGTGTGTGTGAGTATGTGTGTGTGTGTGTGTGTGTGTGTGTGTGTGTGTGTGTGTGTTCTGAACCCACAACTGCAATGAAAGGGCTCCATTTGTGTTTTCCTGCATTCCTGTTCTCTTGCCCTTTTGTATCTGGGCCCCTCCTCTGGTGAGGCTTCATTCTTGCTTTCTAGAACTTCTGTACCGGGCCAGCAGAGAGTAGACAGGGCGCAGGTTTTCCTGAGCCATCCTCCATGCAGGAGTGGGGCTTCTTGGCTGGAGGTTCAGGAGTTGCTGACCCAAAGCCCCTCACAGGCGAAGCGTCCTTGCTTCCTCTCCATCCTTCAGTGTGTGTGGCTGGAGCCCTCTAGGTGCTGCCTGCTTCCTGGGAGTTTGCTCCTGACTCTTACTCATCTTTCCATCACTGCTTGTGTTAGTCAGCTTTTCATTATAGTGCAATATTTGAGGCCAGTAATATATTTATTTTGCTTGAAGTTTTGGAAGCTGAAGGTCCACAGAGCATGGTGCAGGCTCTTGTGAGGTCTCTGTGCCTGCACCACATGACGGATGGTAGCATGTAGGGAGTGCATGTGAGAGGGACTGATTGCCTGGGAAGGCAGGAGAATGGCATGCTAAGTGGTTTCCCCTCACATTGAGACGATCTTAACCGTGGCCATGGCGATGGCTAGGAAGAACAATGAGCAAAGTGAAGAGAGGCCATGCCCAAGTTCCAGGACAGTGTCCAGGCATCCCCAGGAAAGAAGTCAATGATTTCCCTTTCCTCTGCCTCATTTTCTAAGCCTTACGCTTATGACTTTCCCACTCCTATCAGGTTGAGAAGATGGATTCTGAGTCTGTCTCATATTTCTTGGCCAAAATAAAAACCTTTTTTGTTGCTCAATACGGCCTTGATCTTAGTGTTGTTGGTTCTGAGAGGAAAAAAAAGGACAGGGTTTGGTGTCCACCAGTGGTACTAGCAGGAAGCAGAGCATCTCTGGGCAGAGATGCTCGAGGGATCTCAGAGGAGACAGCACAGGGAAGCTCCAGTAAAATTCAGGAGCCACATAGGGCCTGGGGTATAGTACTTGCTCAAGTGTTTATAAAACCATTTCCTATCCCTAGATCGGTCCTCTCCCTTATCCATGGACACAATGTCCCCAGCAGGTATCTAGAAATGTGTAGCAGGTTGCAGGCCATGTGGGTGCTGAGCAGATGCTGAAAGGGGACTCGGTGGCCGGTGTGCTGGAAGCAGCTCTGTGTTATGGGCGAGGTTACTGCAATCCCTGGGGCGGCCAGGCATGCTGATTGGAGGGTTCCCCTGTCTGTCAGTGGCTGGTCTTTTTCCTTCACCAGAGGCAAGCTGACAGAAAGCATCTGGCAGCTGAGGTTCATGAGTCATCAAAGAGGGTGGGGTGAGAGTGGCTCTCATTAGGAAGAACCTGTAGTTGTGAAGTCACGAGCTGCTGACAAATTCTAAGTTTCAGTTTTCATATCTGGAGCCTGGATCTCTCTGCCCAGAGGACATCTCTGCTCACCACTCAGCCCACAGCTGACAACAGGATCCACACAGCTTAGCACAGGTCAGGTGAGTACCAACACAGAGCAGCATTCTGTGGCACTTTGGGGAAGCCCCATCTCCTTATCCTCATAACATCTCTTCCAGGAAATCATTAGGATCCCCAAGCAATAGATGAGCTCACGGAGGTTGGGAATTCAGCCCCAGGTCCCACAGTTGAAGCACAGGAGAGGCTGGATTTGTGCCCAAGTTTGTGTCTGACTGCTCCCCTCCCTAAGACCTCAAGCAGAAGAGAGGAGAAGACCACACAGATGGGGCACAGAGCTCTCCTGGGCTCAGCTCAGGTGGAAGGCGACAAAGCCTGGTGACCCTGAGGAAAGGTGGATGTGCTAGTGGCCTCTGCCTCCAGAAATTTGGATGAACCAGGAGAGGTGGAGGACAGGGGACTGACTTGTTTTGTGGCCTGGTCACCCGGAGACGAGGATACCTGCAGAGGCTTAAGTGGACAAAGGGTTTTCTTTTGAGACAGAAGGATCTGCAGTTGTCTCACCTACATTGTCCCAGGATCCAACTGAAGCCCGGGGAAGGGACTGAGATTCCTGGGGCCCAGGGGAGGCTGAGGAGGACATGACACCAGAAGCCCTGGCTAGGGTGAACACAGTAACCTGGATGTCCAAATAGAAGGACCAGGTGCTTCCCCACAGCGTTGGGGACGCCACCAGGAACGAGTTGGGCTTGGTATGGTGGGGAAGGCCAGGAAGGAATCCAGTGACAGGCGCATTAAAGCAAAGGTCATGAGTATGATGTGCAAATCATGGTCCAGGCAGGGCCTGGAACTAAAGTGCTTGCTGGACAGGGAGAGGTGGGAAGCAGGAGCTGCTGCAGGCAGGAGGGCCTGGGTGCTGGGTTCAGGGCTTTAACTTGACCTTGGCAGCTTGTAAAGGATCCTCAGGAGGTGTGTGCTGTCTTATCCTTGGAAACTGACCATACTGACCACTGAGAGGAAGAGGCTGTGCTAGAACCTGCCTTGCCTAGGAGAACCCAGAGCGCAGCTGATAGGGAAGGGAGGCTGCCTCAGTGGGCAGAGGCTGTGGCCAGGACAGGGCCAGGCAGGTGCTCCCAGGCTTCTTTTTTTTTTTTAATTTTATTTAAAAGGAAAAGAGAAAAACACAAAACAAAACAAAGCGGTGTAAGGGTACACGTAATACAGATCTACAAAAAAAAAAAAAAAAAACAGTAAGAAATCACCTGTTAATACATTACATATTATCATCTTAGAAATAGTTGCTCAAATCACAGTATCAAAGAATACAAAGTGGACATTCAAACAGAGAGACTGCAAACAGCTGTGTTCAATGATCCAAAAACATTAATATAGTCAGCTATTTAACACCCCTAAACACACTTGCAGTTATATCCGTTAGAGCTCTTTTTTTCCCCTCTCTTTTTTACAACAAAATTTACACATTTTGGATTTTATTACTCCTTAGTTCTTATTACTTTTTTGGGGGGGGAGAGAATAAAGTCAAATATGGCAAAACAAAGCTGTCAGTCAAAACCAAGGATAGACATAGCACATGATGTAAAACAGAGTACAAGGTTATCAACAAGGGTTATCAACAATGACTCTTGTTTCCTTAAAAAGATTTGTCTATCTCATTAGATATTATAAAGTTGAACAAAACAGTAGAGAACAAGACCAATAAAACTTAGGCATTGTAAACATTACAGGACTTCCAAAGGAGACAATAGTCAAACCAGAATGGGCATCTTAGTGAATCTTATTGCCTTCAAAGTAGTTGCCTATACCCTCAAACTTGATACTATCATACAGAATGGAACAGAGTCTAATCAGTCAAAACAAGATCGTGGGAGTATTACAGGATTTCAAAACCAGTTAATAGGAAATCATAAAGAGTTACTATTATGTATCCTGCTAATTTTTTTAATTTTTCCCCTTAATTAAAACAAGCATAAGAACTAAATAATGTTTTTAAAGAATATGGGAGAGATTGAGATAAAACAGGACATAACAATATAACAATACAGGTCAAAGCATGACTGTTTCAGCAACCTAGTGCTTCACCACCAAATAACCCTACTTAATAGTAGTTACCGTAGTGTCTGTCTTTTCCTTGAAATATTTGGATAAACTTCATATACTATAGCTTCAAATATTTCCATATCAAGAAGCCCAGAGTAAAGCCTTTCCAATTAATAAGTGAAAACTTTATAAGGCTTCAAGGCCACGTAATGGGGAATCATGATTACCACATATTTTTATATATTTGAATCGTTACTCTCATTAGGGAAACTATTCGGTATTCACACATGCGAGATTGATTTATTTCACTTATGAGTATGGTCTCAAGCTGCGCCCATTTATTGATAAATATCTCAATGTGATCCTTCTTTATAGCTGAATAATACTCCATTGTATAGAAATACCACAACTTTTTTATCCATTCCTCAGTTGATGGACACTTGGGTTGTTTCCAAGATCTGGCGATTACAAATTGTGCTGCTATAAACATAGGTGCACATATATCCCTGTGGTATGATGCTTTCAGTTCTTCTGGGAATATGCCTAGAAATGGAATAGTTGGAATAAATGGGATTTCCAATCCCAACTTTTTGTGAAATCTCCAGACAGACCTCCACAAAGGCTGTACCAGTCTACACTCCCACCAACAGTGCAGGAGAGTTCCTTTTTCCCCACAGCCTCTCCAGCATCTGTTGTTGTTGGTTTTCTTGATCCTGGCCATTCTTTCAGGAGTGAGATGGTATCTCAGTGTGGTTTTAATTTGCATTTCTCTAATGACCAATGATGATGAACATTTTTTCATGTATCTATTTGCTATTTGCCTTTCTTCATCTGAGAATTGCGTATTCATCTAAGATGCCCATTTTTGGATTGGATCTTTGAATTTTGGAGGTCTGAGTTTTTTTAATTCTTTATATGTTTTAGACAAGAGTCCCTTGTCTGAGAGAGAGTTCACTAAAATCTTTTCCCAGTTTGTAGGTTTTCTTTTCACTATGCTGGAGATTTCTTTTGACATGCAGAAACTTTTTAATAAGAAGTGGTCCCAGTTATTGATTCTGGGAAGTATTTCCGTGCGGTTTGATTCCTGTTCATGAATTCTCTACCTACTCCTATGTCTCCAAGGTTTCTACCCAATTTGTCTTCCAATAGATTTAGTGTTTCTGTTTTAATATTCAGATCCTTGACTCATTTAGATTTTAATTTAGTACATGGTGATAGACATGGGTCTAGCTTTAGTTTTCAGCAAATGGAGAGCCAGTTTTTCCAGCACCATTTATTAAAGAGACTGTCGTTCTTCCAATGAACCTGCTTGGTTCCTTTATCAAAGATAAGGTGGTTGAGTGTGTTTGTAGTTGTAGTTGTATCTTCTAATCTATTCCTTGATCTTCGGCTCTGTTTTGATTCCAATACCATGTTGATTTTACTACTGTTGCTTTGTAGTATAACTTCAAGTCAGGAATTGTGATGCCTCCTGCTTTGTCTTTGTTGCTTAGACTTGCCTTTGCGATTCTAGGTCTCTTTTGGTTCTAGATGAAATTTAGGAGTGATTTCTCTAGATCTATAAGGTATGTTGATGGTATTTCTATTGGGATTGCATTGAATCTGTATAAGAGTTTTGGGAGAATGGCCATCTTCACAATGTTTGTTCTTCCTACCCATGAGCAAGGGATGTCTTTCCATTTTCTGAGATCATCCTCAATTTCCTTTTTCAGTGTGTTATAATTTTCACTGTATAAGTCTTTCACTTCTTCCATAAGAGTAATTCCTAAATATTTCATTTTTTTGCCTGCTAATGTGAATAGTCCAGTTTCTCTTATTTCCCTCTCTGTGATTTTGTTGTTCGTGTATAGGAATGCTATTGATTTCTGAGTATTGATTTTGTATCCAGCCACATTACTAAATTTATTTATTGTATCTAAGAGTCTTTCAATGGACTTTAGGGGGTCTTCTATGTAGAGTATCATGTCATCTGCAAACAATGATAATTTAACGTCTTCTTTTCCTATCTTTACCCCTTTTATTTCTCTTTCTTGCCTAATTGCTCTGGCTAGTACTTCCAGTACTATATTAAATAGGAGTGGTGATAAAGGACATCCTTGTCTTGTGCCTGATTTTAAAGTAAAGGCTTTCAATTGTTGGCCATTTAGTATGATGCTGGCTGTTGGTTTGTCATAAATGGCCTTTATTATATTGAGGTAAAGACCATCTATTCCAATTTTCTGTAAAGTTCTTATCATGAATAAATGTTGAACCTTATTGAAGGCTTTTTCTGCAGCTATAGAAATGATCATGTGATTCTTATTTTTGGCTTTATTGATATGGTGGATTACATTTATTGATTTGCGTATGTTGAACCATCCTTGCATTCCTGGGATGAATCCCACTTGGTCATGGTGTATAATCTTCTTGATGATTTGCTGCATCCTATTTGCCAATATTTTATTGAGGATTTTTGCATCTGTGTTCATTAGGGAGATCAGTCTATAGTTCTCTTTTTTAGTTGGGTCTTTCTCAGGTTTTGGTACTAGAGTAATATTTGCTTCCAGGAATGACTTAGGAAGGATTACTTCCCTTTCAGTTTCATTGAATAGTTTGAGGAGTGTTGGCAGTAGGTCTTCTTTGTATTTCTTGTAGAATTCTGCAGTGAATACATCTGGGCCTGTGCTCTTCTTGGTGGGCAAGGACTTAATTACATTTTCAATTTCATTAACAGAGATTGGGTTATTCAACAGTTTTAAATCCTCTTGATCTGGCTTTGGAACTTCATATGTTTCTAAGAATCTGTCTATTTTTTCTGTGTTATCAAACTTTTGAGAGTAGAGTTTTTCGAAATAGGTGTTGATCTTCTGTATTTCTATTGGGTCTGTATTGATTTCACCTTTTTCATTTTTATTGCATGAATTTGAGCTTTTTCTTCCCTTTTTTAAATAAGGTTGGCTAGGGGCTTATCAATTTTATTTATTCTTTCAAAGAACCAACTCTTTGATTCGTTGATTCTTTGGATTGTTTTCTTAGTCTCTATTGC